TTCCCCAGGTGTCTGGTGGCTAGCCCCAAACTGTCCCTTAAATGTCTGTCTTTTTCCCCAAACTGATCCCCAAACCCACTATGCTCTGGGGAATATTGTCTCCCCCAAAGCTGTCCTCCTGATTCATAGCTACCTGAATCTCTGGGGTGGTACAAACCTTTAGTAGGCGGTGCTGTTCCCGAACGCTCAGGGTTTCACACTCCACTACATTGAGGGATTTCTGCAACCACTGTCCCAAATTCCTAATGTTAGCAGATCCCAGGGTCTTGCCCAGGGCTGCTAGATCAGCTCCACTGAGGGGGACCATTACCTGTGTGGTTTCCATGAGTTTTCCCTGAGCATCCTGAGTGACTGAGGTCCCTGTGGTTGCGCTCACCTCAGGCACCAGGGTCCTTTCCTGATCTGACTTAGGGTCTTCAGGAGAGGGATCCCCTGCATCCTCTGGATCTCCCCACATCTCCCCACCCCAAATCTCTCCTGGATTGAAGGGGATGTCTGGATCCCTGGCTTGGTTTCCCCGGATGACAGCTGTTACTTGCAGGCTGCGCTCCTGGAGTTCCTTTTTCAAACGGTTAATGGTATTTAGACAGGGGCCATGGTTGACCTTGGCTCCCTTCTCGGCTTGGTCTTTAGCCATTGTCTTTACCAATTTTTGCAAGGCTTCTCGGCTAGCCTTTTCTTGGTCCAATAATTCCAGTTGTCGGGCATTGTCTTGATTTATTTTTCTTAATTGCTCATTTCCATTTTCCAAGTTCCGAGACAATCCCTTTAGAGTTTGATTACTGGTTTCCAATTGGACACATCCATCTTTTCTGTATCTCATTTTGCTCTCTCAATATTGGGATAATGACGCTTACCTCCTCTTTATAAAACACCTGGAGATCCATAGAGAAGACATTGCATAAGGAGGAAGTATTGTTATTGTAACAGAAGGGACGGCAGGGTCGCTGTGCTAGCCCTTGCCACCTCCTCTACTGTGCCAAAAGGCGCACACATCCTCCCTCCGTGGGCTGGGTCCACCCTTCAGAGTCTCCCCATGGAGAGGGGAAATTTCCTCCCTCTGTACCCACTTATCTTCTTGGCCTCCTGCTCCAACCTTAGGGTTTTTTTTTCCTAAACACGGACATTTTCCTCAACATGCCTCAAGCCTGTCGGTTTCCTTGAGCCCTCGCGCTCCCAACTGACTCTGCCCCTGCAGTTCTACAACCAAATCCCTTCCTTGGGATATGTCCACCCCCTTGGGTGACTACTAAAATCCAGACCCTCCTTGGGTCTACCCACCCTCTTGGGTGAGTCTAAATCCTAGTCCACCCCCTTGGGTGAATATTGCCCACCCACCTCCATGGACATGGGTTTTATCTGGAGACCCGGTCTCCCCAATTACCAATCCGCTAATAATCCTAGAAAAGTGCCTGCGTTCTCCACCAAATAATGTTGGCTACAAACGTCCAACTCGGGATCCTTAAAATTCTGGTTTATTAGGTGGATTGAAACACTGTAATGAAGTCAAATCACAACTTTGGGGCTGGTCCCCTCACACACACACACAGTAGCGAGCTACAAATGTTTGGGGGAGGGGGGGCACCAGAGTCGGGTATACCTATCCCACAAGTGCTGGAGTCTGCCGTCAATGGCCAGTTGAGGCTTCTTCCAGCGTGGTACTATCCTCCAGAAGGGGGTCGCCGGCTGGTCCTTCTGGCTGGACAGGTCGGGTGCT